AGGTATTAATATTTTATACTACAATCTCTCTCACACTTTCAGTGTGTGTGTGTGTGTGTGTGCCAGTTATGAAGGAATTTCATGAACATGCCTTTCTCCTGGGGATTCCAGGGATGACTGTGGTTTGTTTTAAAAAGGTTAGGACCATCATGTGTTTCTTATTTAGACCTAATTCTCGTTGTCAAATAAAATATTAGTCCCCGTGGGATTTCAAATCATTTTTCGGTCATAATCACCCGGGAATGTGTTTCTGGGGACGAGCTTTGTGAGCAAGGTATTTTTCTCTGGAAAAACAAAAGGGTACACGTGTGGCACGCAGAAAGGAAAAAAGGGAAGGAAAAAAAGAATCACATCCAGAGATAGGTGGTGCATTCTGGCAGACAGTAGGAATCTATTTCACGCCCAAATGAAAGCAGTGTCAGAGGGGGAATGTGTGTGTAGCATGTGCATGAGAGGTGTGGCAGGGCAGGGGTTAGGCCTGTTAGCTTGTCCTAGGTGGAGAAGGGTGGGAGGGAACACTTCATAATCGAGACCAATGTTCTTTTACTTCAATTGATGACAGACCACAGGGGAAAACACAGCTCGATGCACACACTTTTCCATTTAGCATTGTTTCTGTTCTGATGATCCTTGTAGGACACAATAATACGACACAGCAACCCAGTCACAAACATCTACGAGTCCGTGCACGAGGCACCCAGCACAGAGACGAGTCGAACACCCACGCAGACAAAGCTGCTGTGATGTTTAGCAAGTACCATGTTTGCAAAGTTTAATCCAGTTAGCATGTAAGCATGATAATACTTGCTCAGTACAGTCTCATAGTGCCGTGGGAGCATCCGAGCCATACACTGGAGGAAACTTTCATTCTGGACAACAGTTGTAGCTTGAACTTCCTCAAAGTTTACTATGGCAACAATGGTTGTAACTGCTGTTTGTTTCCGAATGTAATCTCCAGGGAGTCATTGAAATGAAACGTAAATTTAACGAATATTTAGATGAATCGGAGCCGGCTGTTGAACTGCTATTAAAAGATCGGACCTATTAGATTAGTTTTGTTCCAGCTGTTCATACGTATCAGTGTGAAATAACAACGCACAATGTTGGAGTTTGGGGTCAACAGAGGAAGCATCTGGACACCTACAAACATTTGGCCTACGACGCTGGGTCAGACGTCCATCGTGTCACCAGTAAATGCCTGTCTCCACTCTGCCACTCGGTTGTTCCCCAACTGCAGAATATCTTGTGCAACAAAACTCATGTTATAAGTTTAATGTAATGACTAAAAAATGCACTGCTGGCAGCTTTTAGTGAAGCTCCTGTATCTATCAGGGCGTTCTCCATTGTAACACTGATCTAAGTCCCTACAGATGTATAATACATGCTGGAAGGACATGTCGCATATCTCCATACTGAGCTATGTGATTAAGATGAAACAGGGAGTGAACTACTGAGATGATGCCAGCCCGAGGAAAGACGAAGAGCAGAGTCGACTCAAACTAGAGAGCAGCGTTGACTCTGTTGGTGAGCATCTGTGTCTTTGTCTTTGTGCCGAACCCTTGCTGTAAAACTAACAAGCAGAGATAAGAGAAACATCGGTAGCCTAGTCACCAGAAATCCCTGTTATCCAGTGTCTGCCAAAGCTTACATATTGTTGGACGGATTAAATATTGAGCAGGCAGTCACATGACTTCACTCTATTTTAGGTTAAAACATTGGTTTCGCTGAACTGTAGTTCAGTTTTTCATGTCAACTCTATATGCACATCTGTAAGGGGTGAAACACAGAACTTCAAAATACCACAAATTATTCAAACATGGTCACTAGAGGTCACTTCAAGGAGGTCAGAGGGCTTTGGCCGAGCCCGTAGCAGTTAAAAGAGACAGACGTGTCAATGCTACACATCGTGTACAATATGAATCTACTGTATGTGGGCTGAAGGCCATCTGGTTGGGGGCTGTGCAGTGTCTCCTCCCAGCAGGCAACTAAAGCTGAGCCAAGACCCCAGGCCCAACACCCTGCTGGACTTTGAAATCAGATCTTTATTGTCCATAAAGCCTCAGCCAAGTATGAAGAATCAGCCCTCCCTAACAAAACACACTTATCCAGTAGAGCGAGGGGCAAGATGAGAGAGAAAGTGGGACAGAAAGAGTGTGTAAGGTGGATGAGATAACACCCAGTATAAAGCACAGTTCAATTGGCATGCTTATGCTCGCAACTATGCTGCAGTTATTTATAGATCATTGAGAGATAACTCAATTTTCATAACTTTCTAATTTTGTTGTGGTTGGTTCCAGCCGGCATATCAATGGAGCACTCTCCACGCAGCACAGCTGTCTGCTAAAACATCACACCATGTTCTGTTCCTGCCACTGGAGGCCAATTATCTGCTTCAGAGTGACTATGTGTTATGTGAGCTCCACAACCGAGAGGAACGAGGCAATGGAGACACGTAGCCTTACAACTCAGCTAATGATGCGAGCGTGAAGTAAACAAAACTTTCTGCAATCCGTATACGTTTGTCACTCCACCGGCAGACACTTTTCAGTTAAAATAAAGCAATGAAAAAATACTGTTGCTTTGGTTAGATGCATTCAACTCTTTTCTTTGTGTAAGTAACAAGTTTAAACAGTTAGAGGTGCCAACATATCACTTCTGAGGAGTTGTGGATGCCAGAAAACACGGATAACATCAGGCCGAGTGAGGCCAGGATGTGAGACAGAAGCTGAACGGATCAGTCAACAAAGTCCGTTTTGAAAGTGCTAAACATTGTCTCAACAGTTAGAAAAACATCATTAGCTGTGCAAGAAGACTGAATCAAATTAACACAAAATTCCTGCTAATCTAATATTGCCCTAAGGTATTCTTCACACTGGTTTGCTGCGCTGCTGTTTGTACCAACTTGCTTTTTCCACTGCAAATCACTATCACGTCATATGAACTGTCAACCCAGCAGAATGAGTTTGAAGTGTCTGCCTGTTACCTCAGAATGGCTTCACAGACACGATGGTTTGATCCACCATGGAGAAACAGACTGTTGTAGACCAGTAGCCTGTAAATATACTGGTGCAGCTTTAATGTGAGTTATCAGAATATCAGAGCTGTTATCACAGATCTGAATTTTTGATGCAATGCATCATGTCTGACAATAACAGCGCTGTCTGGAAAGGAGAATCAAAAAGGTCCATCGCTGAAGCAAACAGAACCCAGGTTGCACTGATCTGATCGTGCACGTAATCAATAACCCACTCTGACTATAAAGCGGCAGAGGGAATGACCAGCTTGAGGTCATCACTTGGAAGCCATAAGCATGAAAATGTTCACCCTCACTAAATTGCACCTGACAGATTTTGGCACAATCTCAGCCAAAGTTATTGGGAGGACAGTCTACTACTGAAGGAACCCGAGAGACATTTCTGACCCACCTTGGGCATCTACAGTTTTCAGGAATCCATCTTCATCTGCTCTCTCTCTCTCCATCAGTGATGGGATTACAGTATGAACCGGCAACGGCGTCTGAACCCAATAAATATAGGTCAAAAATCAACTGGAGCTGTATTTACTATACAACTTTCTCGTTTAATTTTCTTCATCGTACAGAAGCCACTGCAAATTTCTTAATGTGTTATTAAATGTCTATTTCCATTGCCGACTATTATTAAATAACTACAAAGAGAAAGAGAGTCAGTTACATTAGAGCATGACTAAAACTGCTGCAGAACAAATGTGTGCAATGTTCATTCTGCATTTCCAGATGTTTGCTGTGTGAACATTAAGAATATTAAAACAGTCACAATGAAACTTATCTAATGTAAGTTAATCCATCTGATCTTTTAATTAATAACGTGTTGATGGGCTCTGATTTTGTGCAGCTTTTCATATTTATAGATGAATACTAAATTCTAGCAAAGCGTAAATGCAGTTTTGCGCTTTTGCATTTGGACCTGTAATCATTAAAACATTTAATATCAAAGCAAAACCGCATCTGTACATCACTTGCACATCAGCACAGTTTTAGCAGTTTAAACGGCTTCAAATGTGGGTGATGAGTCCCTCTAAGAGTCGCTCCATCCACCACACCAGTTCACATTTTCAGCAGTGTTCGCACACTGTGACTGTGTGGAAAAGCATATAAAATTACTTTTGATAAATTTGAACGTTCATTCTTTTTTTTATTCCTTTTTTAGAACAAAAAATCACGTCAGATTGAAATTTTGAGGAAACTGAGGAATAAATTCCACAAAGGATGGTGTGCAATATAAACGCAAATTAAATGCACTGATGTGTTCTGATGTGTGTTGTGAAGCTTTACAGCAGTTGTAAAGTTTCCACTATTTTTGCCCCTTTGAGCCAGACTCGTTTGCAGACTGCGGTCGTAACATTATGAGTAAAATATGAATTTGCGTTATTGTTACAATCCAACGCGCAGCTGCTTGAGTAGCGCCCGTGGTGGCATTGAAAGTGTGGGTTATGGTTTGTGGAAGGACAGAGGTACGTGTCAGGTTGATTTAGTCCGTGTTTAACTTGTGACTGATTGCATCACTGCAGTGGAACATAGTCAGGTGTGAGGGCAGCACAGTGGTGTTGAATTTCAATGGATATGCCCTTGGTCAGATAGGTGATCACACATGCAAGTACCTACAAATATACACAATATTAAAAATAACTTCCAACGTGCGGTATGTGTGTAGTTTTTAAAGTACAAATCTTTGCTTTAAACGATTCTTAAATATGAAAGTGTAAATTTAACGCAATGGCGGTATAACCTTTTGGCACAAGTATCAAAGCAGTGTCATCGCACCTGTACTGACGTCACCCCGTGATCCCCTCAGCTCTGATTTCGGGTGACCGTAAACACTGCGGGCTCGTGGCAGGGCCCCCCTCTCTGTGCGCGTGCGCGTTTCCTCCTAAAACTAATTGCAGTTTCGTTCTCGCTCCTTTCTGAGTGACAGAGGATTTCGCTTCGCCCCGAGCGACGTCACACTAAGGTGGGAGAGCATTTTTGCTGCCTTCATCATCCAAAGAGCCCACACTGACAGCCGTCTCGGCAGAGACGCCTCTACCTGCAGCCGGTGAGCACCGAGAATTACCGAAACTTCATCCGGGCGTCATTTGAGGGCGAGCAGAGTGGGGCCAGCGGGGCTCCGCGCCTGAAGACGTGAACTGTTACATGTGTAAGCGCTCCTCTTCCTCTCTGACTCTGATATGACAGTTTATATGACATATATATGACAGTAAAATGAGTCAGAGCCGAAGATCCTCACGAGTGGAGCTTTTTCACGCGCTGTTTCGCAGTCAGATAAGACTTGAGTGTTTTCGGGATTCGTCCTCGGTCCGCCCTGGAAGCATGTAACGTGCTGCGACAGATGGGGCAAAACGACAATGCAGAGGTTAACCACACCTTTGAAAGCGGACATCTCTCCAGTAGCCTCTTGACCAACTTTGTTGCGCATTAAGATGCGCACGGCCGACGAGCAGTTGAATTTTTGCGCTCTTCTGGACAGTCTGTAAGCGCGCCTGCACCGACTCCAGCCGCAGAAAGCAAGCAGGGACTTCCTATGTATTTAAGAAATAACTCGGTGCTGGCTGAGATCGTCACTCGAAACTTTGGTGGGGAGTCTCTTTGAGGATTTCAACATGACGGCTCGTCTCTCGCGGATCCAGCTGGCTCTGTTCTTTATCTCGCTTTGTCCGGTCAATATCATCGGACTGTGGTGGTGAGTTTTCATTTACTACCACGTGTTTTTCGCTGTCTGTCTCCCGTCAACCCAAAGCTTCGTGTGATTTCTTCGTAATCGCGGTTTTCCTGTTTATTTTAAATCTAAATGAACACAGTCGCTATAAATATATATGCGCAGTAGCATAACATTAATAAGTGATTAATGATTAGCACATTTCCCAGCAAACTACCCGAATCTAAGAATGCTCAAGAACAATCTAAGGTGCTGCCAGAGTGAGAGACTAAACCTGAAGAGAAGACAGGGAGGTGAGGGAGGTGTGTGCATTTCATTGTCTGCAGCGATAGAGAGGACAGGGAGATTGGTGGATGTGGTGTTGATGGTGTGTGTGTGGTATGTGTGTGTGTCTGTGAGTGAGAGAGTTCAGAGGGAGGAATGTCAGGTGGCCCTCTGGGCTCAGTGGATATGTCATCATAAAACAATCCCTATAGGCTCAGCTCCACAAGGTGTGTGACAGTTGGACAGACAGACAGAGAGACAGACAGCAGATCAGCTGATAAAATATTTTCTCTTGGTGAGGGTCTGTCTTACTGTTTCAATAGGAATCAATCTCTCTCTCTCCGTCTCTCTCTTTCTCACACACACACACACACACTTTTGTAGTGTTTGAATGTGCAGCTTTGTGATTTTTTTTCCACTTGAATCCTCCCACTGTTCATTCACAGCCCAGTCAAGGTCAGTGTGGGATGTAGTGTCATGGAAGCTGTGTGAGTTTATGTCCTTGTGTGACTGGTAGATAGAGCTCCTCCACTTTGCCATTTTTCCGTCTTACTGTAGAAAAATAGGTTTGTGGAGGTAATCTGTGAAGATAGTTTGAATTAACTCGAGTTCTCTTTGTTAATGAAACATAAGAGTCTCTGCTTGTCTATCCACAGGCTGCACTGTATCTGTTACAGATTGTGAAAGTGAGCAAAAATACGAGGGAGAAGAGAGAATGGGTATTTTACATCCAGTACAAGGTGTATGCACAATCTTACAAATGCCCAAACGTGTTTTTGTGTGTTTCCGAGTATCATAAACTTACAGCTATGTCTCAGTCGGTTCTGGCGCTGCACCGTGAAGCCCAACAATGTTTCCTTTAACATGTCATTTTCTTTTTACTATAATAACTAATGTGTTAAACAGTAATTTGACATCAGCTCACGCCATTAATGCAGGTTAATAACAATAATGCGTATATATCTTCATTACCACCACATCACAGTTGTCCTTTACCAGACTTTAATATAAGAGACAGAGGTTCTTTTTTAGGCTAAGTCTTGCTGTTGGGCCAAAACACAGTGTTTATTATTTAGCCAGCAGAGTGAATGCCAGCCAGAAAAGTGCTGATCTTTTGCTGAGCTGTGCTGGTACCCAGCTGTGGAAGGAAAGAGAGAAAAACAATGTCCGTACAGGTTCATCGCTTTATTTGGGCTAAATCTGCTCCTCTCAATGCAAATCAGTAAGCGAAAGAGTCCTGACACAGAGCTGTGCTGCATTTCTGTGATGTTGATGTCACTGTTCGGCTGGCAGTGTGGGACATTTGTTTTAAATACGACTGCAGAAGAAGAGAATCAGTGCGAAGAAATCAGCTACTTCCTTTTTATCCCCACTGACATACGCTGTCATCTTCTCTTACTCGCTCTCTAGCTCACTTACACACTTACTCACACACATAAATGAGTGGGGCATATATGCACCAGCACATACACAGAAACACACACAGTGTGGCCAACTGTGGAGCAGTGAAACCACACCTGTGGATTGCTCTCCTGTCTGCCAGGACAATGATTCTCTCTGTTGAAAGATGCTGTTCATACCATCGTACGTCTCTCTTTCTCGGTCTCCTTCTGAATGTCTCTGTCTCCTTATGTCTTTTGCCGTACTTGTCTTTTGAAGGAAAATGCCTATCACACAGATAGGTTGTTGATGAAGGAAAAGCGAGAGCTGCAATGAGAGACGAAGAGTGAGCGAGATGAAATGCTGGGAGATAGCTGTCCTTTCAGTGCCTCTGCTGATTAAAGCGCTCTAATCATTTGGCCTGAGAGCAGAGAGCAAAGCTCAGAGACTCAGACACGAGTCAGGAATGTCTTTGCTCTCTTATACTAGTTTTGACTGCAGTGCTGAGCAGGGCCAGCTTTGTTGTGTGCCACAGTCCTGAATCGGCGGACGGCCTGCTCAGAGCGTGCCACAGGTGCACACACACACACATGCATACTGCATGTGTGTGTGTGTCAGCGCTGCATGCACTCCAAGATATACAGACACACTTATTCAGTCACACATTATGGTGACTATATATATATATATATATATGTATATGTATATATATATATGCATATGCACTCATATGCACGCAAACAAACACACACTCGCACAAAATGTATAGTGAGCACTGCCATCATCAGCACGAGAGAGTTTCATTGTAACAGATCTTATCTTGTCCTGGGCTGAAAGCTAAACGTGTAATCAGCACCAGGCAGATGGGTTAAGATAAACATTAAATGACGATGTGGGTTTGGCTTTATGTGCAACAGAGAACTGACATCAAATTGTTTATGTGTGTGTTAGTGTGTTTCAGCATAAATTTTTGTAGACATTCAGGCCAGCAGTATATTATAATGTCAGAAGAATGCAGAGCAGAGGAGAACGACTGTCTAAGAAATGTCTAAATATCCAAGAATCGAGGAAGAGGAGTGAATTAAGCCTTGGTGGCACATGTTAGGACCTCCTTAAAAAAAGGTAGATACACTTTATTTGCTATCCCAATAAATGGAACTCATTACGCGTCATCGCTTCCTTGATTAATGCTCAAATCAGGCAAACAACACCTCCAAAGACAAAAATGAAGAAAGACTACCTTTACAGACAGATTCGTCCGACATAATTAACCAAGCTGAGCACTTTTAGCGCCTGAACAAACATCTAAATAAAAACTCAAAAAGAAAAGAGTAAGACTAGTTGTCCAAGATGGGACACAGACGCAGGTTTCCTGGGTAACAGTCCGGGAAATGACAATACCCCATCTGAATGTGGACTATTTTATCTGCGAACATTCTTGTGTGTGATCTGCGCAACTATGATGATTTAATCAGGTGATACCTGCACACAAAGCCACATGTGCAGGAGTGATATCAACTAATACCGTGCTGATGTTAGCAGGCGCTGTTATTTACTTTGATGCCTTTCACATTTAGGTGTCGGATAAGAACGCAGGTTTGATTCCCGTCAGCCTGTTCGTAAAAACCGCTTGTGCAAACCCTTCAAAACCTTTTACAGACGTTTAATCTGCTGCCTGCATTTCAATCAAACAGTAAAAGCATGTGCCGAGGCTGTTTCTCTCATCTTAAACTTTGAGACGTGAATAACTGATCTGATCTACAAATCTGAATCTGAAATGGTAGAAACATCTTCACACATTGGCTTAGTTTATAGACAGATGTCACTATGGCAACCACAACTTGGTGGTGCACGTTATTCTTAAAAGGAAAGAGACAGTTTAGTTGCTCTAAAGTTTTATTTTATGTGTGATCACGCCTGCGATACACAAACAGGATCTGCCTTCCATTTTCCACGAGTGCTGTTGAGCTCTTTCATGCAGTCATGTGAATATGTCCATATTTTGACTCAGAAATGTATCTGTTAATTGTCACTGGGTGTGCCACGGTTGTTAAACCAGAATAATGTTTTTCTCGTGACATTAGCGCGGTGTTGTTGGTTTCCTGCTGGTCACATTTAATTGCCTTTGCTTCCATTATGAGTGCTGAAACTTTTTATGGCAGCAAATGTCATCGTTTCAGGCTCATTTCACGCCAGCGTGTCAGCAGGATCGAGCGTGTTTGAAAGCGATCGACAAGCTCAGGCTGAGAGGACCGAGAAACAGCAAAGCTGAGAACCAGGAGCTCGTTTAAAAATTTAGTTTGGGAACAGCATGTTTGAATTTGCACACATTTACATCACATATGAACTGTTTCCTTTTTGTTTTCTAACGAAGCCCAGCATCTTGTTTCCATTTTCACACTCCTGCCGACCCTTTCCCTTTGTCTCGTTCACTCCGGCGTCTCAGACTAGCGCTTGTCGTGACTGTATTCATCTGCAGCATACTTGAGGGATTAAGGAGGGATGAAATTCACTCATTCATGGGTGGAGTGAAAAAAAGAGAAAGGCCCACAGCTCCACGGTGGCGTGAGATCTTTAATGAGATATGAGGTCTCTATGAGTGTCAGTGTTGAATCCCTTTGTGACCTAAAAATAATATGGTTATTATATAATTATTGCCATTGTGAAAAACTATCAATCCAAGACCTTTGATCATGCCTGACACCTATTTTTTAATAAAGAGTACAAAGAAAGAATCTGCCACGACCAAACTGCAGACAAACTGTAGATGTTTAGCTCATGATTGGACCAGCTGAATATTTGTCATAGCAGTGATAGTTTTCCTATCAGTGCCTTTGATTTGAGTACTCGTGATTCTCAGTGTTTTATCTCCGTCTGCCGCGTTCCTCTGCCTGTGCCCGGCTCTTTATCTTCAAGAAGAACTGTTCATGCGAGACAGTGTTTCCTCAAAGCTGCTGATACGATCGATGACTGAACTTCCCTCTCAGTGTTTTGCACTGGGTTATCTGCTCAGGAGCTGTATCATAAATGACTGACTGAAGAACAGTGGCACTTTGCATGAAGAGGATCTAATTACTTGCCTGGCTTTGAAGTTCCTACTTGGACGTGTATGCAAGCTTTTATCTGTGTCTGCACTGGAAGTGCACCTGCGTGGATCATTTTCACTTTTCCAAAGCAATTTTCGTGACATTACAAACATTTTTTTCCTGCTTTTTTTTTTGCACCTGAAATCCGCGCTTTTTGGATCCATGGTAAAGCGATTCCAGAGTCTCCCCTTCCTCACACAGATGCACACTATAATGTTTCAGTCTCCAAACAAGGGCAAGAATGCCGGGCACTTACAGCACGTTGATCCCATCATTGAATTAATGCACCCCATT